GCATAGACAGCTCAGTTATAAACGTTCCTGTTACACCTCGTAGACAACTCAGTTATAAACGTTCCTGTTACACCTCGTACACAACTCAGTTATAAACGTTCTTGTTATACCTCGTAGACAGCTCAGTTATAAACGTTCCTATTACACCGCGTACACAGCTCAGTTATGAACGTTCCTGTTACACCGCGTACACAGCTTAGTTATGAACGTTCCTGTTACACCAACAGAATTACAAGAAAACCAGAACCTAGAAATAGGTGCAACTGGTAGTTTCATTACTGCTGGTGGCGAAACAAGGAAACCAGAATAGTGACTGCAGAAGAGTAAGCTCACTCCAATGCCGTTTCTATGAACGTCTTACGAGGTTTTTCGATGGTTCCAGTCCTGAATCTGAGCGCCAGTAATTGGGTTGTGTACAGTTTAACAGGAACGTTTATAACGAGCTGTCTACGCGGTGTAACAGGGACGTTTATAACTGAGCTGTCTACGAGGTGTAACAGGGAGGTTTATAACTGAACTGTCTACGAGGTGTAACAGAAACGTTTATAACTGAGTTGTGTACGAGGTGTAACAGGAACGTTTATAACTGAGCTGTCTACGCGGTGTAAAACGAAAGTTTATAACTGAGCTGTCTACGAGTCATCAGCAGTAATTAAACTATTAGTTGCATTTATCTCTAGGTTCTGTTTTTTTTTTGTAATTGCGTCGCCACCAGCAGTAATGAAACTATTAATTGCACCTATCTCTAGGTTCTAGTTTTCTTGTAATTGTGTCACCACCAGCGGTAATGAAACTATTAGTTGCACCTATCTCTAGGTTCTGGCTTTCTTGTAATTGTGTCGCCACCACCTGTGATGAATGTACTAGTTGCACTCATCTCTATTCGTTATTGGACAACACCTGTAGTATCGTGGCATTTTCAAACCGAAAACAAACTTTGTAGACCCCTGCACATATCAGTTTAATTGTTCTAAGCTGTGTAGGTATATATTATTATCCGAAGTGATGGTATGCTGTCCTATTAAATCTTCTTTAGAAAAATTAATAAACAATGGTTACGATTATTCATCTCAACTATCAACTCATTTTGCATGTAGGCATAATTGGAATAATGAATCTATCAACAATAAGTGCAGAGTCCACGTTTATCTCCAAAGTCCTCGCCCTCTGTAATTGGTTGGTAGAAAGAATATTTGTAGAAGTAATGACATACTTTATCTATAGCGATTACCTCATTTGTCAAGGCTTCTATCTTCCAGTCCCACAAAGAAGGGTATTTTTGCTGCACTTGCTGAGAGTTGTGGACGGCTTCAAGAAAAGTTTCTATTTGTTGCTCAGTTACAGGGATATCTAAAAACCTAAAGGTATCTCTTACAACCTTCAGCGGGTTTGTGACAAAATGCTCGTGAAGAATAATTCTATAAAAGTCCTGATGCGTAGTAGACGCAATCTTCTCGGCAATCTTTACGTCATGTAACATCCGAGCACATAAACTACGAGCTTGAAGCCGAAAATCGTCCTCTAACTCCAAACGACCTCCGAGGTTATTCCGACGTCTCGAGTAGATGATGGCACGAGGGTCCCTTTGCAAAACAATTAATTTTAAGTCGTTTTCTTCAACCAGAGGCTGCAGGTCTTGAACGTAAAGGCGCATTACCTTGGTAACAGACGCGTTTTTCAGTTGACATGCTCTGTCCAAGCAGCTTGTCAAAGTGCTGTTATTTGTCAAACAAAATGGCGTTTTATATATGTCCCTCAACGCCTTACTTCTTAGGGCATGATCTTTCTCAACCAATTCCACATTTCGAGATATCTTACACTCCATAATGTCAATGAGAAAGTCGAGAGCTTGCGGAACTTGGCTTCGGAACAAGGGCTGAATCGCACTATGTGGTCCTTTATGGTCCAGAAGGTAGAACGGCTCAAAGTAGTAAAAAATCTGAGGATGCTGATTAAAAATTTCACCCAGGAAAGTTCCACCGCCACGTAAATACGACAATATTACTATATGTTTTCTTTTAGCCACAGAGTTCTGGGTATTGTACAACAAGTTAGGTGCTTTATGTATTGCACTAGATTGCGTGTGAATATTTTGTACAGGCAGAATGTAGATTGATTTAATGTCTCTTAAAGGCAGAGGAAGAAGATTAGTGGGCTCAGGACTCCTTGTAGGCAAATGACTGGTTGTAGAACAAGACACACCTGAAAGATAATGATAGAATGCAATTTTCAATCATATATATATATAAAAGGAATAAAATATGTACAGAAAAGTTAAAAAAAGCATTGAATTTTAATTAACAAGCCCATCACGAGTCACTGGGGAACATTTTTGTGGAAAAAAATAACTACCCAATCCAGTTTTTCTTAATTTGAAATGGATTTTTTGGATATATTTATTGGATAAAAAGAAGGCATTTCCCGCACTCTTTTAGCGTTGGGGCTGCGAAAAATGATTTGAAATGGTAAGGTGACTGAAATCCATCAGCGGATCACGAGCTTAATGGCCAAGCACAAGAAGCATGGAATTCTCCAAATGAATCACAGAGGTATTCAGGAACCATTTAGAACTACCTTGGTAGATATTATGCAGCAAGCCGAGCACAATATTATGAGTGTAAGCCGCTTTCAAAATGTTCCTGTCTGCTCATTCTAATGCTGGATATTGCGATGCTTCGACCTTCCCTACCGAATCGCAGATGAAACCGTTCGTATCTCAATTGAAAGTGTGACGGATATACTATTATATATATTTATTTTAATATCGATGTTTGTTTAAATTAAATTTATATTTAAAAATGTACATAACTTATATTTTTAAATCTGTATTGCGAAATTTCCGCCTACTCTCTAAAGTTGTAGAAGATTCTCGAGTGTAAGAATCAACAATATAGGTGTGTACGTGAAACGCTAGTGTAGTGTTTGTATTGTTGCGCAATCTGAATTTTCTAGAAGCTCTTCACACGCCTATAAATATAACCATCGCACTGCGCATGAAAACCGTATCTATTATTGGTTTGCTATAAACTTCGGAAGCTGTAACTGTGATTGTTATAACTCTTATTAATCGGGACACTTCAGATATTTGACCAGGAACATTTATACATTTCGAGCATTACAAGCCATTTAAATTCAGTGAATTCACATCGGACATTAGTACTTTTACGAAAACATTACCTAACGTCATCGGTGAAAGAAACTCGACCTATAATCGGCGTGTGATCAGCGAGAACTACAGAGCTAGCTAGCTCCCTATTAAGTGAATTGTATCTACATCAACTCGAAATTAACTCGCTCATCGTGAACCATCGATGAGATATCAAGGAAGTTCTAGGCTAGAAAGAAGACTTTATTTTGCTTGTAAGTTTGTAAGACTTTTGTATATAAATCATTATTTGTAATAACTGTTATTGTAAATTGTATTATTGGTTGTATATTAAAATATATTTGTATTAAAAAAGAAAACTGTGTGTATCAACCTTGTTGGCAAATATCACAAATTAGATATATATTGACATTTATTTAACTATTAAACCTAAATTATAATTTAACTCAGTTTTAGGCTATTTGAAATTGTAATACATAACAAAAGCTAAACATAATAAAGCTGATAGCAGAAGCATAAAAAGTTGTCAATTGTTTAATTAATGATGCTGAGAATGTGGCTTTTTTATATGTACTGAATTTACTCCCAGCGGGTAGAACTTAGTACTAGCAAGTATGGAGACTTGAGGATGCTGTATTTGACTTGTAAAAATAATACAATTAAATTAAACTAAAC